CAACTAGATACCTGGTATTGCGGTTCAGCGTCGTGGTCAGGTGACGTGTGAGATCTGCATTGGTGCACAGGTATGGATCCTGCATGCGAATCAAATGAATCCACGCTACATGGAGAAGACCATGATATTTGATAATAACGGACTTGCTCTTACAGAACTGCTGGATCATAGTGAGGCGAGAGCTTTTATCAGACGCCACACGCAGCCGTTAAAACCTCCAGCTAATGGAACAATGAGGAGACCAAAGAGGAGAAGGTTTGTTCAACCGTTCCAAGTAGTTCCCCTTCGGAAGAGCTATGTGGACCAACAATGGACCTGGGTTCGTCTTTTTCAAGAGAGGAGAGTTGTTAAAGCGCAAGCAAGTAAACACCACCACCGCCTTGATTTGTGAGGTTGCGTCACTCATCCCGCCCACTTTTATGGTTCCCCACATGTGCGTATCTATTTGCTTCACATTTTTGCTTAGCTTGTATTGATAATGAATCGTATGCTTATTAGTTGTTCTCTTACTCCGTGTATTTTGCTCATTTGTGAAGCACCATATCGATCATTGGACTTTGAACTGACTAGCCTTGATTGACCAAATGTCAACCTTCCTGCATAGCTTGTGTATATACATATACGCTGATTTGGAGTATTCGAGTGATTCGTACTCACGGATGCTTGGCTGTCGGTTCGGTTCGTGGCGAGTAACATTGTCTTGTAAGCGGATTGCTGTGCGTGTTCTCAGTACTGTTAGTGAGTGGAACCATTCGTGGGGCCGAATCAATAAATCGAATGCCGTAGAACGTGTCAGATCTTGAGACCAAAACCGCCAAGTCTCATACCTATATAGAAAGAGTCCGCACTATGGACCTGCACACACATTCCTTCAAGAAGAGCAGGAGAAGCCTTTTCCGGCAATCCAACTGTGGCGAGTTAAAGAAAGTTGCTCTTGCTTCCACGATACAGGAAATACTTCCAACCATCGTGCCTCAGTCGCCTATCATGCGGCTATCATGTTTGCTGAGTTTCTCAACAATCTCTAGTTTCTCGCAGTCAAAACGCAAAGGTCCACCAGTTGGAAAGTGGTCCTGTAACAGTAATTCGTATTTAACCGTTGCGAAACGCATGCCGAAAAGAGGAATATCGCAGAGTCGATTGCGACATGTTATGATTTAATAAACAATAGGCTTATCTCCTCTGTATAATCCAGAGCAATAACCTTTCGCCCAAACCCGTTTTGTCATTGCAACGTATGCCCACAAATGCATAATGCAAGGTGGAGCCCACAACAAACTTGAGCACGTGTGGTAAATCTGGACAACACGTCACTTGTTGTCGGAAAGGCGGTTGGGAACTCACCGTAAACCATAACGCAACTAGGCAAGCATAATGTTCACATATTCCATTAACTCGCACACCCGGGTAAATTTGTCGAAATATTGGAGCCATCGACTGATTGATATAGATTGTTGAAGTCAAGGAATACATCAATAGTCGAGCTACTTCCCTCTTGTATCACCTGTCATTGAGTAGTCTCATGGACTATGCAGTTACATTCCGGTGGGAAGTCTGCTTGTTCTTTCTTGATCATGGCTTTTCGTCTTCACCTTACCCGACGGACAAGAATAAAGGCCAGTCACTTTGTCACCACTAAAGTCAGACTGCTACCTCTGTGGTAAGCACACGTTGTGCAACTGACTTTCTTGTGCATTGCAAGTAAACTCGAGTCACACTAGTCGATCTGGGTACTATCTTCCTTCTATGCATTCTCGTGGAAATGTGAAATGCGTTGTAGAGTGTACCAGCCCCAAGCTTAATTAATGGGTGGGTAAGATAATTTGGACTGGCAAACGAAGGCGATGGATGGCTATGAGTGTGCTTTATTGCACTTTCGTTTGGTGTATCCAAACGAACTGGCCATGCGTCAATGAATAATGAACATTGAACAATGATTTATCACTGATTAAAAGCAAGCGCTTGACACTTCCTGTAGGATGGTTCGGTGAATAAAAGGAAATCAAAAGCTATAGGAGTCAACTATCGAGCGTTTCACCGGGATAAGTGCGTTGATAAAAATGGTTAGCGTGAAATAAAAGTCGAATGCAAACATAGTGAGATATACGGGTACAGTGATTGCACCATGGGCACGAGGCGGTCTAGCGGCGGGGCGTGGAAGGAACTGGTCCTGAAAATATTCCAGTGACAGCCGGAGTCCCGTTCTAAATTAGAGCACCGGTACTACCGGTGCTTACAAATAGCGTAGTCGCCCTGAGCGGTGGTAACATTTTCGCCCCCACTGGCACTTGTAACCGGTAAACCCGAGAGATCGGCTAAGGGTAAAGTGAACATTAGTTTGCAATGAAATGGATGATGGTTTGGGACACTGAGGTAAATGTGGTGAAAGTGACGGCAATGGAACAAGTAAGGAGATCGTTGGGACGAACGTTTGCACAAGTGTGACCCATAGCGCAAATTTGCTATTGGTCATACAGAGTAACATTAAAATCTTCAACTCTTAGCTTACCCGGATATATTGCCCTTTATATTTGGTACCGAATAATCGATGGTACTAAAAATACCGCCCTCTGTTACATTCCGCCAGAAGCGGACCACCCCCGCCCTTTTGCAACGGCTTTGGTGCATACTTAGTCATCAGTGTTCTGCGGAAGCTTTGCAACAGGAGAAGGTGTCCATCTGTCCCCGTCATTATTAACCATACAGTGCATCGTCAAGCTTTACTTCGGACTCCAATACACGCTACTCCCTGACAGTGTTGAGAAATTGTTTCTGTTAATAGAAGAAGTTGGCTACATTTTCATCTATGGTCTCCTTCGACGTCTTGAAAACAGAGCCCAAACTTCTCGCGTTCCAGCCTAAACACGCATGAGATGGTTGCAAAATAACAGCAGTCGTCTGAAATAAACTTGCATGGTCCCAAGTACCGAACAGTACATGCCAGCACATATGATCTACTAGAAAGTGATGTCAGGTGCTGATGGTACGTTTTTCTCTCTAGCTTTTATGCCTACAAGAGCTGGATTGCAGTTGTGCTTTGTATGCGTTGCAGCTGTATCCCCGGATAACATAAGCTGCGTTCCTTCGAACATAGATAAAGTGGAACCGAGTTTTTGTTTACCATCACTGTTAATGTGGGAGTTTCCGTACAGCTAGACTATCAAATGACCACTGTCGGGCAAACAGTTCGGTAATGTTCCGTTAACCAATTCTATGCCTATACATGTACTTAACTGGTTATGCAAGTATTTAGTTGCTATCTTACTAAGCTCAGTGTATTTCAGAAACCTGAGTTTTGCCAGTAGGAATCCCAATAACAGAGTTCATTTGGGCAGATAATATAGATTAAAATATTCTGCAGAGCGATCCCTTAAGATCTGAACCAGTTCACTGGTGCACAATGCTTACTTCAGCGCATGTCTGATGGCTGTGAGATTTTGTGTTTGACTCCATACTCATTCTGCGTGGATGAGTATCACTGACAAGTTCTGAAAGGACGCAAAGTGTGTAAAACTTATCTGTGTGTTTAATAACTTATCAATAAATTGTGCAGCAAAGCTTTCCTATTAACAGATTTTTGGGAGCTAAAATTTGAGTAAGGACTTGCCGGATTGTGTTATGTGCGCCCATTACTAAAGGGTGTCAAGTCAGCAAATTGTAACACAATTCTTCTTCATCATCATTCCACTGGTCCCCATTTCGAGTTCTGATAGTTGAAAGTTGTAACTCTCATTGGCCCTATCGTAAGAGGCGTCTAGCGCACAAAGTAGCTAATGAAACGTATACAATCTTCAGGAGCTGACAAGGTAAAAGTGACGGCACTGAACAGGGAATACTGTCGTTCATTTGGCCAGAAGCCAAATTATACCTGGGCTTCGTGAGTGCTACGACTGTCTATTTGCGACGCTGGCATGACTGGCTTCGAAATTCCACGAATACATATTGGATTATAGATAGCAGTTAAACAATCAACATTGATTCATAACGAGCAAAAGTGAATCTTTGACAAGTTCCGTATAGTGACCGGAGGCAGGATTATAAGATGAAGTTTAAAGTAAAAAAACGAGGAAATTCGGGTCCAAGGTGGCTCATCGCATTGTTCACAGGATCACATGCTGGTCGCCTCCCTCTTAGGTTAGGAAGAAGGCTGGTGAACTTACTGTTTGTCCTCCGATGGAAACGGACTATGTCACATGATGTAAACCGGATGAAGAGTAGTGCAGTGGTTCTGTAAAAACCGTGTGGTGGAAAACTGACGTGAGTTGGAATAGCCTTCCAAGCTTGAGATACCCGAAGGGGGAAAACGTTTTATCGGCAATAGCCTCGACCATAGTGTATGGTCATTACAGAAGTAACGGGTTTACAAAGTTGGTGTGACTGGATGCTGTACCTGGGGTAATTATGGGGGAATCTGTAGGCAATCCTACAAATAAGTAGGCCAACTTATGAAAAGAAATTCGGGGCAGCCTCTGATGGATCAGCATTTGTCTCATATACATGGAAACGGCTGTGTGAGTGGGAGGCTCCACCCTACACAAGCACTTCCGGACTTTGAGAAGAGACTGATTGCGAAAGATACTTGCGCCGCTCTTTGCAACTTATTCATCCCAAGAAAACAAATACATTAATGCCCAAAACGCCGTAATCTTAATATACACAATGGATATTCCACCCATATGCTGATAGCTAACATGCAGAGGAGAGAGATACCGGCAACACAATGAGAGGATTCTTCGTGTTCATAGTACAACTTGTTGTCCATTTGTGATGCAGCTACGTGTTGACGAGTGACAAAGAGTCCGGCTATTGTGGGGGATAAGTGCTAGTGATCGGACCGCCTACCCATCACTGGTTCCTTCTTGCCAGTGGATTCACCTCAAGCTTCACCTGATGATCGAAAGTAGGTGTTGCTGCAGCATACATTGGTGAACTATGTGCCTTGTAATTTCTCCTTGTAATTTCTACCATCATGTTCTATTCGCACTGATTTGACTCCACAGGAATACGTTACGCACAAGCGCCGATTGGACCACTGCGATTCCACAAACCGGTTGCGCCAAGACCGGAGCCAAACAGGGTATTCTCTGCCAATGAGCTTCCAGCCTCTTGTTCTCAACCGAGAGATACGATGTTTCAGGTGAGTCTTCGAACTTTTCCTACGCATCATGCACATACTACGTCGACAAAATGGTGAACCATGATCCCTAATCCAATTCCACGTGTTCTCCGTTTAGCTCCACTACAACGCAAGTAGTATACATTCATAATAACGTTAAGTGACCGGTACCCAGATGACATCAAGTCAATCGTGTGACGGGCATTCTAAATAATGTGAGAACTTCAGACCTATTCATATGCATATTAGAGTAGTACTGTTGCAGGTAGTGAAGACAATGAAATCGTTGTGAAAATCATTTGTTCTGAGTTTTACACAGGTTGGCTAACGGTTAGTTGAGTACCCTTAGAGTCTGTATCAAGTTAGATAACTTAAACTTCACCTTATCTCAGCTCCTAGTGTATGCGTTGGCTAACCGTTGTCACTTATTTGCTCTTTCATGCATTTAAAGGAACTCAAGGTCTATACTTTTTGGTTGTCATATCCTAGTTAAAACATTGATCTTCAGGCTATCCTGAGTTATCCGTTTCTGGATCCTTTTAGTACTGGTAATCGATTGAATTGACATGATCCGATCTCAGCACGTCCGTAGCCAAAAGGCGACGTGTCACAAGGCTTTGCGCGGCAGGTTTGAACGAGGGGATGGCATGCCAGAATTCGCTATAAGGTTTTAACAAAACGACTGGGCAATAAGTGGTATGAAATATCCTAATGCTGTGGCTGACGGTTCATGGAATAAGTCTCGGGTTCGGCTTCTTTCTGAGACCACAGATGTTGTTGTGCGGTGCAGAATTTAGAAAACTGCTTGCGTGTGTTTCCGCGGAAAGAGTGCTAAGGCTGTGATGTAGAGGTAAAATGTTATCCGCACAAATGTGGCCAAAAAGTGGAATGCGCTATATAACAATAGTTAGACTCGGTCTAATGAGTGTTGATGCACGTGTATGCGGTGAGAATTGCGGGGGTAAATTCGAGTTGAATGCGTGGTGAGAGCGAATTCTACAGCGCAGAGGTAGATGTAAGTGTTACCAGATAGAAGGACTGATAGCGTCACTGTCTTATACACCGCCAACAAAGTCCCAATAGTCAAATAAGGGATTGTTAACGAGTGTTGTTCCAGTATACCGAAATCCGAACTGGTCTTGATCTGCGAGTTTGCAGCGCACACGTTATTTACAGTTCCGTTGACCGCGTAGCCATAAGATGGTACAAATGAAGCTTCGTTTGCAGCGCTTAATTATATATGCTTTGAAGGGAGCGGAATATTGCCGCAATTAGTTGGGAATACAAAAGTTTTATAATATTACCCGATTTTCTGGTGAATCCAAACGCCACTGTCGTAGGGTAGGGAGGTGGTACTCAGTGGTTGCCCGAAAGACAGAAAGACCACGAAAATGGGGGCGGACGGAAACGGGAACAGACGCAATGACGGACGGCAGACGGGGACACACTGGCCTGGCGAAACAAGACGAGAGCGGGTTACAAGCGGCGTTCGGTAGTGAATCTGAGCCAGGCGGATCGGAGAGGGCATTCGTCGAGAACGCAATAAATCAGACAAAAGCGCCATTATTGCAGCTTCCCGGACGAACCTTAAGCAGAGTGCTGCATCCAGGGTCAAGCAAATCACGAACTATCGAACGGCGGCGTAAAAGTGGAGAGTTGGGCTGAAATGGGCATGGAATATTCCATCACGAGTTCCCCAAAGTGTATGGATGTCTCGCGAGCGGAAGCCAGGCGAGATGGCGCGTCCTGGGAAGGAAATATGACTCCTTGATGTATATCTGCATGGGTGGTGGGGTAACTTGTGTTCGCGTCAGGAAAGCTTGTGCTTCATTGCCGCGTCGTTCTTGCTACAGCAGGAAATATTACTGCTGTCGCGCTTTAAAGCTCCTCTTCACTTTGCGCTAAGAGTTAACAGGTATTTTTGATCAAAAGTGCTCTGATAGCTTCTTATATTGCTTCTTATCTGGTTCTAAAGCGATAGATGTTCAACCTTTATCTCCCATGTGGTGCTCTGTTCGGAAATGGTATTCCGCAAGGAAGTAGATTAGCATCAGTAGATTAGCATCAAGTTCCATCTAGCTGCGTGTCAATTCGCATATCGCTTCGCAAACATCCAATTAACTGATTACATTTACCGGCGCATCTAAAATGTCTGAATTGTCCATAGCAGCTGGGTATTCAGCGCGTCGAACAACTCCATAAGTCAGATGAAAGGCTAGACGATGGTTGGTTTTACTCGCACTGCTTTTATGAGAGCCAAATGCTTCGTACCGCACCTCGGTTGTGCAGCAGCACGTGCGGAATCCGCGCTGTGCTTTGATTACTTTGGTTCTTAGTATGTGGATGGACAAATGATGTACCAAAGTTGATACACGGTGGAGCAGCAATTTGCTGAGAAGGCTACTTGTTCTCTCAGGTAATACCACAGAGCGCCCAGTAGACTCAGTATTGGGGTGGATCGATAAACGTTTTCGCGACCGGCTACTGGTGGCTAGAATACGAACATCTATGTCCAATTTAATACGAACGGAGTGCGGCCTAGCGCAGGGTTGCGTATTTGGACCTCAACTTTTCCTCATTAACGACCTAGCGGGAGTCATCACTCCAATTGTTACATTTCGCGGACGACGTTAAGATTTGGCGAGCGATCAAAGGATTGGAGGACCGCGTGATGCTTCAGTGTGACCTCGATGACGCCTGGAATTGGTCGGGGTGAAACACGCTACCACTCAACCTGAGCAATTGTGACGCTTTTTACATCCGCCATGGACACTTCCAAATTTGCGGTGTTCTTGTGTCCCATCTGCTGACCATCTCTTAGGAACGTGACCTCGGTGGGTGGTGCAGGACCGCCTCGGTTGTTCCACGTAGTCTGAATCGGCTTCACAATGTGGTAACCAGCACGTTGCTCACTGGCGGAGGACATTGGGGACTTTGGATTTATTCATCTTCTCACTGATACTCAGTGCCTACGTTGTCCCCCATGTGGAATACGCTATCCAGACTAGGTAACCTTGGCTGAAGCGTGGCTTCTCAACGCTCGAGACCCCACGATTATATCAACAATACAATCCTCTAGGTTAAAAATGGATTATGTATTGCGCTCAGCTTCATGCAACTTTTTATGCACTGAAATGCATTCCAGCTAACCTGCTTTTTAAAAGTAAAATCTACGTTGACATAACTAAACTATGGAACCATGACGTATGAAGAATAAAAACGCAAATGTTCAACGTCCCTTGAGATGGTTTGCATGAGAAAGACAAAGGTGGCGAAAAGAAAGCATGGTGATGAAGTGAAAAGCGTTTTGATGCACTCCCCATAGTGTTTAAATCAAGACATGTCTAAAAGAGCCTGTTTCGATTTTGTAGGGTAATGCTGATTGGTGCATGGTTCTCACGTTGTATCTCCCAGAGATTTACATGGGCCAAATTTTGTAATGGTCAAGTCAAGTCAATATAAGCTTTATATACCAAAAGGAGTGCAGTTTCAGCATTTTACATTGTCAACTGTAAATTTACATGAGGGTTACTAGTAATATGTAAAAGTTACAAGTGGATATAAAAATGAGGATGCACGGTCATAGATCAATTAAGCAACGATCCCGAAAAGTTGGACTAACTCTTCCAGATTTGTATCTATTGAAAACGGAAAAGGTTTTGTAAAAGTGTTTCTTTCGAATTCGTTTCAACTGACGTAGAATTTTGTGTCCAGCAACAATATATCGGGGATCATACGTGATATAATGTGTGCATATTCACTGTTGGATAGAGTAAAGAGTCGCAGTGACCTTGGAAGTTGATTAAACAAAATACCTGTCGGTGCAATGTTGCAATACAGAGATATATACAGGAGATAATGTAGAAATGATGTTCGGCGAAAAAGGCAACAGCCGATTTAGAGACCCCGCCATATAGGTGGGTTATGGCAACCTCAATGATTTTGCAAACGCAGATAAAGTGTGTGTGGGGGGGAGCAGAACAAGATAATTGAGGAGGGCGTTCCAAGGCTGATACGCACGAAGAGAGTAAAAGTTTGGGCGACATTCTAGCCGACTGCATTGCGTGACCAACTTGAACTAGTGGCCCTTCAGGTTCCTTTTGTTGCTAAATTGCAGTAAGTGGCAGCAGACGTGTTTGGGGTTCTTCGGAAACTGAGATTATACTTATTGTAATAACACTAACAATATTAATAACAATGCTTCCTTCTCGTGTCGTACCAGGAAGCCGTACTCAAAAAAGGACCGATCGTATTAACGTGTTGAACATGCTCACACATGCAGAGCTGTCAATGGCTGGTTTTTTTGCAGGGAGGAAAACGGTAGGTTTTGTGAAGGTCTTCAATTGCGGCTTTTATAGTCATTCCATACCAGTTCACAGACATTCGCAGTTGTTTGGTTCCGGTGCAGATCTGAGCTACCATGAAGGCGGCGGGTTCGTGGAAGGGGAAGGAACATGAAAATGAATTAAACAATAAGAGTCCGCAACCAACATCAGACCAGTGCTGAACAAACGGGCATAGTAGACTGGCGTAATACAGATCAAATTATTTGTGAGCGGCAGAAATTCTATACTTGGAGCAAACGGGTTCAAATGGGATAAGAGAAAGTAATCTAGAAGGACTGCATCGAGGTTGCTACATTTGAATCTTCAAAGATTTGGCTGCAGTAGCCTAGTAATGTAAAGTAGGATACACATTGGGAGTCAAGGAAAAGTGAGGGGTTTAGCCTTTCTTAGGTCTAGATTTTGGATTGACCTGCTTAAACAAGATGTTTTGCGTGTTATGGACTTTTATGAGGCTAGGTGGCCTCAGTTGCCTTCCTTTCAGCCTTCCCCTGCAGTTGGAGGCTCATGACTTCTGCAGCCGTACAACGGAAGAGTTAATGTTAAAGTGAGTGAAATAGCGAAATAAAAAAACGTTTGTTATATGCAGTGCTAAACATCCTCATCGAATCTTGATCAGTGAAGTACGGTTGCGCACAAATACAGAACACAAGGTGATCAGGAAAGCGCACAGAAACC